TTGGGGCCGCGTAGGCCTGAGGAGCGGTGGGTTGCCAAGGTCCTTGGAAGAGGTTTTGGCGATCCAAAAAAACTTAGAAATCCGCATTTCGGCAGCGGATTTCTCATGTTGGTGGCGTGGGTTTGGGTGCTTCTCTTAAAAATCCCCCCGTTGCCTGTCTAGGGTGAGTTTTTGGGTTTTCTCGCTGTAGACGTGATTATTTTCCAGTTGGGATAAATAGGTAGATGACCCTTGGACCAGATTTAGTCAGCTTTATCAAGGGAGTTTATCAGGAGACAGAGTGTAGGAGGTGAATGTGAGAGAAAGGATCAGAGCCACGACTTAAATTATGTGGCTAAAACGAGACAAAACCAAAACGAAGTGTTTTGGAACCTTAGAGACTTCTTACAAAAGGCATAAGAAATTAAATTAAAAGCGCTTACTCGTGCTGCCTTATACCTGAGCAAACACCGTTTGGGTTCCAACAACTCCCCCACAGGTTGCGGCACCAACGTGCACGTCAGAAGGAAGTTGGGCTGTCAAATCCCCAAGCAATAGCGAGATCTTGCTTACCTGGAGTGAAGTTCAGATGGGAAATCGAGGAAGGGGAGGGCTCCCCATGACTGTGTTTAGCCTAACAGGATGTCCTCTGACGGACAGGATCTGGTTGAGATCAGTGCTGGTGTTGGCTTGCCGAAATCTTGAAAGTTCCCTGGGATCCCGGGCAGCCGAGCACTTAGAAAAAAGCGCTTTGATACTTTTTGGCGCAGCTCTGAGCTTTGTTTTGTTTGTCCTTCTGTTTTTTGGTGGTTTTTTTTGTGTGAGTGTGTTTCGTTTTGTTCTCGCTTTGAATGCTAGGGGCAGCAGGCCAAAACAAACAACACTTCATTACAAAGAACACGGCCAAGCTCGACCGCGAAACCGAAGAGCTGCACCATGACAGAGTTCCCTTGGAGGTGGGCAAAGTGATCCAGCAGGGCCGGCAGAGCAAGGGCATGACACAGAAGGACTTGGCCACGGTGAGCGCAGCCTGGCACCCGCCAGCCCCAGCCCCGGCTCTCCTTGGGCAGATTTGGGCACCTCGAGGCTGTGGTGGATGCTCTTCCCATCTCCTCGTGGGGGGTGGGATGGTATCGTGAGCAGGATGCTCGGTGAACGCGACACCTCTGATCTCCAGGCGACGTTAGTTATCTGGGAGATGTTGTAGGCAGGCTGTGGTGCCATCCAGAGATCTGGGCAGGCTGGAGAGCTGGGCAAA